ATATATATATAATTTACTATTGTATTTATATATCCTCCCTATATATTATTATCGAATGCGCTGAGCCTACGTGACTGCTTTTGGTGCTTCGAAATCCTACTTGGTAAAAAATCATGCTTCGTAATTAGGTTTGGACAAATAATATTGATATATTAATAATTAATAATTTAGGTTTGGACATTCTATAAATATTTATTAGCTAACTTAGGTATTTTAATATCGTACTAATATAACTCTTTATTTCTTTGTACTTTTACTAAGTGACTAATATATCCCTGACGTTTGATTTGTTTCCTTCAATTAGCTATTGAATTATAAATGTATTTTAAAAGTTGATAACTTTTGTATTTCTTATCAGTTTTACATATATAATATATCAAATTAATCATCTTTTGATGATTTTCGATTTGACATTCATATTTTATATATGAAATAAATAAATTATATTTATCTTTATAATAATAAGAAACAATAATATTTATAAAATTACATTAAAAAAATAACATCATTTCTCAATTGATATATTTATGTTTAATGTAGTTATATGTTGTACGTTTAAAAAATTATTATAATATAACACGTGTAAGTTGCACAAATAAAAAGTGTCATACTAAATATATAATTATATATATATATATATATTTATAAAAGATATTAAATTTTCAACTACTTTTCCTCATTAATTTTAGATTTTAAGAAAAAAATAGTAAGTACCCGTGTAATACACGGGCGTTGTACTAGTGATTCACTATATATAAGTACATAAAAATGTACTAAATAATATATTTTTATAAATTTAAGAAATCGTGACCAATTCATTTGTTGAAAAAAATAATAAATTATTTTTTTCTATAGCAATATTTTGTAAACTTTTAAGAAATTTAATCTATTGTGTCATTAAAATTAATTAGCTATAAAAAAACCTAATGAGATAAAAATAAATACCAATTTTAAATAAATAGTTTGAAAAAAAAAAAAACTACAATTTTGTTTATAAGCGTATAACTTTCATAATTTTTTGTTTGTATTTATAATTTGTTAATATTAGTACTAATTATTATATAACAATAAGTTAAAAAGTATTATTACATTTAAATAATGTGAAATGTAACGGTCACTTTCCATAAATAAATAAATAAATAAAAAGAGCGAGAAAATAATATTAAATCGATAGCCTACTGTAAGCCCCCTCTACTTATACATTGAAATCATCAGAGTTTTAAAAATAAATCTGACTTTATTGAAAATTATTTAACTTTTTAAAACATGCTTTGAGGGTACTTACTAAACATGTATCTGGCTTTACTATCATGTCTGCTTTTAATCATTTTAGGATATCTGATCCCGACATAAAACATGTTCAATTCATTAAGATCTAGTAGAGCGATCGATACTAGCCTGATAAATGAATCGAAAAACTGAAACATGAATCCAAACAGTATACAACGTAGCTGACAGTAATAGGTTCGAAAAATAAACTGTTCAATAGCGGAAGCAATAAATAAACTGCATATGACCACCACTAGCCCCTCTTGAGTCCCGCCCGGCATGCTAACCTGAAAATGATAATTGTGGGGGCTGAGCAATAATCAACGTGCTCATCAATATTCCATACTACGCAATTATTCATGATAAAAACAGGTACCGATAACATTGGTATATAAATAAGTAAATCATGTTCTCATAACATGGCTCATCTGTTGGTTTACCGGCCGGGAACGCTAACCCACACGACACGGCAAACCGATCTCGGGTGTACACCTCACCACCGGGAACGCTGACCCACACGGTGGGAGATCCTGTCCTGGTACCCACTCGCGGGCAATGCCCACTCATAGGTGAATACTCATAAACATACCTCGGCTATAAATACCTTGCGTTTATTAAGAATTAGAACATAGCATGGAAAATCCCCACCTTTTGAACTTACTGACTAGATTAAAATGCACGTGCGTCTGAATGAGGGCTCGACTCCTCTTAATCTGAATTTTGATTATTAAATCTTATTATTAGGGATTTTGATTAAAGATCAAAATAAACAATTAAATCACGTAAGTCACGTACATCGATAAGAGCACATAATTAAGTCCAATAAAAGAAAATAAAATTATCACAACTCATCACATTAACATAAATCAAATTTCATAAAATCAAATAAAAATTCTAACTCAAATATACGCGCATATCACTTATTAATTATGTCTAAACTCGTGCTTAAACTCAATAGCAAATAACCAAACACCACTTAAATATTTAAAACCTGCAACACCTCAAAATTAATGCTAATCTCTCCTTTTACTACTAGAATCAATTTAAACCAATTTAAGCACAACTAAATGAATTAAACTCATAAATTAATACTTAACAACATCAACATATATAGTCGCAGAATTATTTTAGTGCACAAACCCATGGCATGTAGATATAATTAACTACAAGCTCTTCTTTATCTTATTCTTAACATGTCAACAACAATTAATGCCTTAGAACTGAAAATAAAACTCTTGAAATTACTAAATTTTAGCCAATTAACCACATACTTAGTGTTTAGTAATTAAGGCACAAGAATTGCACATACACATTACATATAGCATGCCTTATTTTCTTTTCTTTTCCTCAAATACTTATGGCACATATATGGTCTTAACAACATACATTAGTACTCAAATAAATCATGCATAGCCTCAGCAATAATCTCATCATAGGTTCAAAAAAATAAATTATACTCATGGCTTGAAATAAGACATTAAAGCACTTCTCTTTTTTTCAAATTCAAAGACAATTAAAAAAAATACCAACTATTGAACCTAAACTCCTTTTAAAAATCACACATGGACTGAATATAGACTTTGAAACTAATATATTTAAGCATATAACAACCTGAAATTTGCAGCATAAACATTAACAAAATCAGGTAACAAACTAAACAAAATCATTACACAACGTACATACATCTATTTTCCTCTCCTCTTTTCTTATACTTAAGCAATATCCACAAGGTCTCAAAAACTGATTTTAAATGATCCGAACATGTACAAAACTCAGCGAAAATAATATATATATAAGGACCAGCCAAAATACCTCACTCGGCTTTACAAAACATGACAAAAAGAGGTACGGTTGAAAGCTCACGGGCCTAGGTTATAGGTTCAGCTTTCTCTTGTTTGTACTTGGGGTGAGCTGAAGGTTGCTACTCATGGCTATAAATTAGGAAGGTTGGTTATGACTTGGTCTCTTACTTGCAAAATGCAAGAAATAAAAAAAAAAAAAAAAAAAAAGATCCTCTATACCATACATAATGGCCGAATGGTTAAGGCTAAGGTAAGCTTGGCTTCCAAATAATTCTTAAGCACAATATAAACTTATATCACACACATGGATGATGAATATAACATGTAAAAATTATTCTAAGGCATATAATCACATAATTAAGAAACAATTGACTTAAGCAAATAAATCATCAAATAGGCAATTAAATAAATTAATAAGCACTTAAGAAAATTAAGTAGATGAGGACATCCACTTAATTCGATTGTTGGATTATATGTTTTAAACACGAAGTCGAGCTCAGAAATGAAATGAAAATGGTCTTATTCACTTATTCATAAAACGGGGCGTTACACCTACTATTCTATATATGTATATATAAATATATTATGGTCGGTTTGGTTTTCTCATTCATTTGAGATAGTCAAACCGATATGACCGAACTAACCGAAAAAAATACGACTAAAAATCGAAAACATAATTGGAATTTTTATTTCGGTCGGTTTTGGTCAAACTACGAACACCCCTAGTCTCGCCACATGGTCGGAGATGGATTATGGATGGAGCTCCTGTGGATGATTATTCCGGTCGTTCATTTTTTTGTGTTACATTCAGAAAAGTGAAACGCTAAGAATGATTGGATATAAAAAAATTAGGTTTTGTTTGGATTTTTTTGTTTGGTTTTGTCAGTTTTGAAAAATTTGGTATGGTTAATTGTTAGTTGATATATTAGAATAATATTTAAAATAAAATGATTAAAGTTGATTTGATGTAAAGTAGGAAAGAAAAGATTTGAAGTGATGGTTAGTTAAAATTATGTGAGTGGATGAATAGTGA